TTTTTTTTTTTTTTTTAAAGGTTATAGGGTGTGTGTACTTGCCAGGAAAAGACAGAGAGAAGGAAAGTGAGAAATCACCCTCCGGAGGGATGGTCACACCATATCCCTTCTCCTCCACGCTTCTCTTGGAATTTTGGACATTTATGCACAAGCCAACAGGTCTGGGGCTCAAGCCATAGTCGTTCATGTGGAAGTCCATGCCTCAGTCACTACGTACCTGCTGGCCCCAAGTGTGCGTGTGTGTGTGTGTGTCTGTGTGTGTTTTGAGAGATAAATGTTTGCCCTTTTTTTTTTTTTTTTTTGAGAGGTTTTCACTATAGGGCGCGTGCCAGACAGACAGAGAGAGACATAGAGACAGAAAGCGAGAAATCACCCCCCAGGGGGGATGGTCACGCCGCAATCCCTTCTCCTCCATTCTCCTCTCGGGATCTTGGGCACGCACGCACATGCGCCCGGCCTGAGTTTTAAGCCACCGGGTCCGGGATGCGAACCACGGTCAACTACGTGGGAGTCCAGTGACATAGCCATTACGCTAACTGCTGGTTCCCAAAATTTTGCTTTTTTGAGAGAGATTCTTTTTTTTACAGAGATTTTTTCATTTTGGGGGGCATGCATGCACATGTGCCTGGTGTGAGTTTTAAGCTACCAGGTGCAGGACTCAAACCACAGTCGACTAAGTAAAAGTCCAGCCTCATAACCATTACACCACCTGCTGGTCCCTTTGTGTGATTCTTTTAAAAGTGAAAATGAGGGGCCAGCAGGTGGTGGTGTAATGGTTAAGGTGCTGGACTTCCACATGGTCAACTATGGTTCGAATCCCAGATCTAGAGGCTTGAAACTCACGCCAAGTGTGTATGCATAATTGCTCAAAATCCTCAGAGGAGAATAGAGAAGAAGGGATTGTGGGATGGCCATCCCTCCGAGCGGGGTGAGTGATTTCTTGTTTTGTGTCTTTCTGTTTCTCTCTGTCTCATTGGCAAGCACACGTACCCTACAGCAAAAATCTCTAAAAGTAAATAAATAAAAATAAAAATGAAACAAACTATATCACACACATAAAGGACAGTCTCCAAAACTGAGTAAGTGAATCTCTTTCCTAAATTTCTAGTCCTGTTATTGAAACTCATGTTTGTTCCTTTAATTTCTCACAAACTGCAATCACAAAGCTCCAGCGTACCTCTTGAATGGCTGTCATGACGACGTGTTGAACGGACTCTTCCATCATCATAATGGCTTGGATGTACTCTGCAAACAAGAACAACCTGGGATGTCACTGTTCACGTTAGAGACAGCCGGGGAGCAGAGGCAGGCACTTCATAAACCCTGCGTTTTGATCCTTCCTAGGAACCACTTGTACGTGCTTAAATATCGAGATAACTTTTTTCTATCACTGTACTTTATAAAGCTGAAGGTGCAGGAAAGGTCATGGATGTGTGTGGGGATACAGTACTGAGATGCATACTTGATGTACGACAAAGAAATGGTAAGGTCTAAAGTCAGGGTAGAAAGCATTCCATATTACTTCTTCAAAAATCTGAAAGTTATCTTTTTATAAAAAGAATTATTTTATTTAGCTTTATTTATTTATTTTAATTTGACCATAGAGGGACAGAGAGAGAGAGAAAGAGAGGGAAAGTGAGAGAGCAAGCCACCAGGTCCAGAACTCAAACTGTGGTTGGCCATGTGGGAGTCCAGTGCCCTTAACCACCATGCCACCGGCTGGCCCCTCTTTTTATTTTAATAGAGATTTTGGCTATAGAGAGACAGAGACAGAAAGTGAGAAATTACTCCCTGGAGAGATGACCACTATGTAATCCCTTCTCCTCCATTCTCCTCTCAGGATCTTGGGTATGCACACACACGACTGGCATGAGTTTTAAGTCACTGGGTCTGGGACTCAAACCACAGCTGACTACATGGAGTCTATTAGCATAACCATTATGCCATCTGCTGATTTCTGAACATGATCTTGTATATTATTCTTTTATATTGTTCCATGATTAAAAAAAAAAAAACAGAAGTCTATGCTTTAGTGTGTGACAATAAAGCACCTAATTTGCATAATTCCTAACAATACTTTCTACAGAAAACTCCTAATGAAGCCCAAGAGCTACTTAAGAAAAGCAGTGAAGATGAATTTACAGTGGAAGTTGCTTTCACAGTTAAGCAAGCATCACATAACCCTGGACTTTAACGTAATGACCCACATCACTAATAAGCTCAAGCAGCAACTTCATTGATTTCATCCTCACCACTGTGGAAAGAGGGAGCTCTCTCAGCTGTTAGTGCAGACAAAGTGAAAAACAATAATTTCTTGATTTCTGCAAAAGCCTTGGAAGTAGTTTTCATTATTTCCAAACCCAATAATGGATAACAAAAGTAGCATTAGACATAAAAAAATGAATAGGCCAGGTGAATTCCAACACATACAGTAAACATATTTGAATATGAAGTACTTAAGGGGCCAGCAGGTAGTGTGGTAGTGAAGACACTGGACTCCCATATGGCCAACTGTGGTTTAAGTCCCACAACTGGTTGAAAATCATGCTGGGCGCACATGTGTGCAGGCCCAAAATCCAAGGAGGAGAATGGAGGAGAAGCGATTGCAGTGTGGCCATCCCACTTGGGAGGTGATTTCTCACTTTCCCTTTGTCTCTCTCTCCAGCAAGCACACACACCCTAGGACAAAACAAAAAGAGAGAGAGAGAGAGAAAAAAAAAAAGGATATTTAAGAGGGTAAAGTAATTAGAAAATTTCAGCCTCGACTGGCCATAAAATAAAACCAAATGTGAACAGTCCACTCACTCCTTGAGGAGCACAGCAGACTTCCTGTGAAACTGCTGAAGTAATCTTTAACGAGACTCACACATCTGGAATAGCGAGCTGTAATGCTTTGCCCCAAGAGTAACTTGTTTTTTAAAAAGAAAGTATTTTTACAACCTATTAAACTAAGACATTATGTAGTTCCGGTTGCTGATGTCAAACGTGTTTCTAAGGAGGCACCATCCCGAGGGTACTTATCCCCATGCAGTGCAGCTAAATCACAGGCACTGCCTTTAGGTCAGTACTAGGGACACCAGGACACAGCCTGACCATCAAATTCTAGTCAAAAGAAAATTCCTGTAGCCCGAGATCAACTTTCTGGTTTTGTTTCCTAGCGAGGACTACCTTCTGAATGCTGGAATACAACAAGGGAATGCTCTCAGACATTCTGTTCAAAAGCACTAAATATTAAATTCAAAGGCTTTGGAGAAACCAGCGTATTAGAGCTGGGATGATTAAACAACCCTCAAAATAATGACTGTGAACATGGAAGAAGAAAAGCAGTGGCACTGATAATGGGAAAGGAAAATTTAATGACAGCCTACTGGGAGAGAGGTTGGAAAGGGTAGGTTAGGAAGTTAGTAAGGTGTGAGAGGGGAAGCGTTAGTTAAGAAGCGGTGTTGCCACGTCAAGGCCCTTCCCCGCGAACACCGTAAAATGCTAAATGATAAATGAGGATGAGAACTACGATAACGTACATTTTGTTAAGTAAAAAAAATTAATAATTTGAAATCTTTAAGTCCAAAATACAATTACGTATGCTTATCAGGTGCACCTGTACGGGGAATGCTGGAGAAGAGTGTGCTGTAACAAGGGCTCGCCCTGGAACTCTGGCCGCCTAAGTGTGTATTCTGGTTTAGTACAAGGAGTACTAAAATTAACACCAGGTGTGCCCATGATCCTGGCTGGCTGCAGGGTTCGGAGGACAGCTGTGTCAGGACCCTGTCACGGATGCCTGTCTGTGTGTCTGTCTCTCACATCAAGGAAATAAACGTAAAGAGGGTAGTTTAAATAAGAATGAAACATAGGTTTTTGTCTTCAGCATCACACAAGAAATCTTAGGCAAAAGGCATAATACTTCTGGGTCCTACTTCCTAATCTGTGGAAGCAGTTCTCGTTCTGCTAATGCCTAGTGGAGTGCCAGGCAGAGGGGAGACGCTAAGAACGCAGGCGCACCATCTTCTACTGCTCTTCGTTTTCAAACGTACCACTGCACGTGCCCCATTTGAGAAGCCAGTCAAGATAAACGTGCTCTGAACTGGTATTCTCAGCAGCTGCCCCTCACTTTTTTTGATTAGGAAAAACATGTCAACATAAAGTCTTTTTTGTTTCTATCATACTTTATGGATCACAAAGCAAATACACATATGCAATCTTACACCTCATGACTACCAGGTTCCGTGTCCTGATTTTGCAGACAAAGGAAACGGTGAGTACCCTGCCCGCAGTCAGACAGGTAGTAAAAGGCAGAGCCGCTTTAGTAAGCCTCTGTCATTAGTCCACAGCATCGGCTAAGGCTTAACAATCCAGAAGTGCCTGCTCCTATACTTGACCCTTAACTCCTACTGTGAGGAGAGACTGCCCTAATTCTGAACGAATGAGATGTTAAAGTCCTGCTCAGTAAGTTTGGATGATTTATGCAATTTCAGAAGAAAAACAGAATCCAGGTGTTCATACCAAACACCTGGTCTATGGGAGAAGCTCAATAAATACTATGACCGACCACCTTCTCTTCCACAGCAATCTGATGCACCTAGCACCTTTGTCTTTTTCTAATTCTATTCTGTAATAAGTACAATCAGCCAACTGTTGACGGCCACTTGCACACTTCCAACAACCTCTTGTGTTAAATGGAACCCTAGACACAGATGAATTTCCTAACAGAATGCATAAGAAATCATCATATCAATGAACTGCAATGAAATAACTTTTCACCCACCTTAAAATGAAAGCATTTACTTACAGACTTAATGTCTCTTAAAGCTTATGTATACCATTCTTCTACTCTTTGATAAAAAGATATTTCAATAATTCCCAGGTTTCTGTCCCAAGATCTCCCTGTATACCCCAGGGAGGTGAGTCTGTGATTCTGGTTGACTAGGAAGACTGTGGGTTTTCCTGCCAGGATATGCTAATATAAAATATCCTGTGATGCTTTAAAAAATTTCATAATTATTTACAAATAGGTAGAATGAAACAATCTTGATATATTTAACATTATTCTTTCCTTTAAAAGATAGCTAACATATATCTAAAATTTCACTGAGGAAGTAATTTCTTGAGAAAGAACATCTACCAGATTCACAGGTAGGAAAACCAGCTCCAATTATTTTTCTGAATAATCAAATGTTATTATTCAGAAAGGAAATACCCCGATACTCTTCTCTCCCCTTTTCCTCACAGTAATAATGGGTTGGCAGGTGGCATGGGGGTTAAGAGTGCTAGACTCCCACATGGCCAAACGCGGCTCAAGTCCCAGACCTAGCAGCTTGCTTTCTCAGTCTCTCTCTCTCTCTTCAAATAAAAATAAGTGAATGAATAAATGAAATAATTCTTTAAAAACAAGTTCTACTTGAATAATATCTATTCTATTCTATTCTATCCTATCCTATCTTACCTATTTTGCTTTATGGATCACAAAGCAAATACACATATGCAATCTTACACCTCATGACTACCAGGTTCCGTGTCCTGATTTTGCAGACAAAGGAAACGGTGAGTACCCTGCCCGCAGTCAGACAGGTAGTAAAAGGCAGAGCCGCTTTAGTAAGCCTCTGTCATTAGTCCACAGCATCGGCTAAGGCTTAACAATCCAGAAGTGCCTGCTCCTATACTTGACCCTTAACTCCTACTGTGAGGAGAGACTGCCCTAATTCTGAACGAATGAGATGTTAAAGTCCTGCTCAGTAAGTTTGGATGATTTATGCAATTTCAGAAGAAAAACAGAATCCAGGTGTTCATACCAAACACCTGGTCTATGGGAGAAGCTCAATAAATACTATGACCGACCACCTTCTCTTCCACAGCAATCTGATGCACCTAGCACCTTTGTCTTTTTCTAATTCTATTCTGTAATAAGTACAATCAGCCAACTGTTGACGGCCACTTGCACACTTCCAACAACCTCTTGTGTTAAATGGAACCCTAGACACAGATGAATTTCCTAACAGAATGCATAAGAAATCATCATATCAATGAACTGCAATGAAATAACTTTTCACCCACCTTAAAATGAAAGCATTTACTTACAGACTTAATGTCTCTTAAAGCTTATGTATACCATTCTTCTACTCTTTGATAAAAAGATATTTCAATAATTCCCAGGTTTCTGTCCCAAGATCTCCCTGTATACCCCAGGGAGGTGAGTCTGTGATTCTGGTTGACTAGGAAGACTGTGGGTTTTCCTGCCAGGATATGCTAATATAAAATATCCTGTGATGCTTTAAAAAATTTCATAATTATTTACAAATAGGTAGAATGAAACAATCTTGATATATTTAACATTATTCTTTCCTTTAAAAGATAGCTAACATATATCTAAAATTTCACTGAGGAAGTAATTTCTTGAGAAAGAACATCTACCAGATTCACAGGTAGGAAAACCAGCTCCAATTATTTTTCTGAATAATCAAATGTTATTATTCAGAAAGGAAATACCCCGATACTCTTCTCTCCCCTTTTCCTCACAGTAATAATGGGTTGGCAGGTGGCATGGGGGTTAAGAGTGCTAGACTCCCACATGGCCAAACGCGGCTCAAGTCCCAGACCTAGCAGCTTGCTTTCTCAGTCTCTCTCTCTCTCTCTCTGTCCCTCTCTGGTCAAATTAAAATAAATAAATAAACAAATAAAGTTAAATAAAAAAATAATTCTATTTTTTTTTTGGAGAGTGTTTTTATGCTATAGGGCACGTGCGCTCGCCAGACAGACAGAGAGAGACAGAGAGACAGAAAGCGAGAAATCACCCCACAGGGGGAATGGCCATGCTGCAATCCCTTCTCCTCCGGTCTCCTCTCAGGATCTTGGGCACATATGCACACGTGTCCAGCATGAGTTTTAAGCCACCGGGTCCGGGACGCAAACTGTGGTCAAGTACATGGGAGTCCAGCGACATAGCCATTACGCTAACTGCTGGTCCCAATAAAAAAAATAATTCTTAAAAAAAGGGTGAATGTTTCTAAATACAATCTGCCTCTTAATAAATGTCTAAGGCACCTGTCTCAGATGTTATGTTGTGAAGACAGACTGAGTACCTATTAATCTGCTATGCATCTCTGCGCTTTGTATTTAAACTAATAGGTGGATCTTCTCCAATTAATAGTAAATTTAATCATTTTCAGTGTAGTTAAGATGCATGAAAAACAATCTACTCAAAGAATTACATGGTTTTGCAAAAGAAAGAAAAATAATTATCACCACAATCAAATTTATTCTAACTTGTAAAACCCATTCAAGTTTGAAAACAAATTACTACCAAAATTATAGAAAACAGCATTCTTTAAAGGCAGCTATATATAAAGTTGTTATTGTTTGTATTTTTTATATACAACGTAAATGATATACCTTCCTTAATTATTTTACATGTGTATGCTAACTTCAAATAAATTACCTTGTTTCTGTTCACAATTCACAGCACAGCCTAAAATGAGCTGAAGCATCCTTCCCAGCTCTGCTGCATCAGAATGCTCCCCGATGAGGTTCACATCAGGAAGGGTAAAGTCATTAATCTGCTGCCCTAAAATCTGAAGGGAGATTAAAAGATTGCATTTACATTTGTAGGAGCAAATAAGACAATTGGAAGAGATTTGTTTGTTACCACTAGAAACTTACCACCAAAACCAATTACTATGTCAATCACAGTTTCTATTTCTACCTCCTGTATCTGTTACGAGTATCTTGATTTACAACAACTTGGTGTCTAGTCTGGTGTGTGGTTTGTACACTGAGGGGATAAACTGAGTAATATCAGTCCTTCCACCACTCCAAGGACTGGATGTGTACTCGATGAAGAAGCAGAACCACACAGGTACTGACTCAGGCAGCACTAGAGAGAGATGAGACTAAATAAAAATCCACATCCCCAGTAGTAAGATTTCCCCAGCCACCTTCACTCCACTGGACTCCCAAAATGACGGCAGCCAGAAACCATTATCAGAAAGGAAAATGGAGAATTCCTTTATGGGGAAATAAGGTCTCTGCATGATAACCCTACAGTGAAACTTACCACTAAAAACGTACCCCCACTCTGTTTCCTACAGTGCTTTATTTATAAATATCAGCAAACAACCAAGGATGATTAAGACCTTGGAGAAAAAGATCTCCTACAGAAGAAAAAAAAATAAAGGACAAAAACAGAGAAATTCAGAGGAAAGCAAACAGGAAGTGGAAGAAAATAAAATGAAAGAAATCCTAATGCTTAGCTGTATATACAGGTGGTAAAACTATCAAGAAAATGATTATTTATAAATTTAAGATTATGGTTTTCTCTGGAGAGGAAGTGGTTGTGATCAGCAAAGTAAATACAGGGGCCTTCTTGGACAGTGGCAATGTCCCACTGACCTATAACATGACTGTTCACAATCAACTGTTAAACTGTACAATACCCCTCGTGTACTTTTGTCACTGTATGTTTATTTTATAATGAAAATGTTATGGGGGTCCTGGGAAGGAGGACAGCTATTTTAGACAGCCGGCCAAGGAAGGCCCATTAGCTAGGCTAGGAACTGAGCAGAGACCTGAGTGAAGGAGCAACCACACCTGTACAGCTGCATGTAGAAGGACAGGTACACCTCGCACAGAGACGGCTGCAGGCAACCTGAGACAGGAGCTCACTCGACAAACTCCAAAAGAAGCAAGAAGGTCAGCATGGCTGTGGTAAGGAGTGGTGGGAGGTGAGGGGAAGGAGTTGGAATGGATGGCAGATCATTTAGGTCCTCGTGAGTTATGTGAGGGATGCGGATTGCATTTTGAATGATAAGAAAATAAACTGAATTAAATGAATAGCAACACACTACCAACACAGATCAATTCTCTTCCTAAGGAAAATCAATCTCTAGGAAGATATCTAAGAAACTGCTAACATGGATGCCTCCTGGGCAACTGGGGTTAAGAAATAAAACAGGGAAGTAAAAAATACTTCTTTGCTTAACATTCTCAGAGATAAGGGAAACTACTACACTCAGAAAGCAGGAACAGGACACAAAAGTTCCATTCAGAAAACAAAAACGTGGTCTTGGTAACTCAAAATATGACAGCAGAAATGAAGAACTCCATGGGCAAGCTGGAAGGAAAGATGTGTAATGATCTCAGGAAGTAAATAAAAAACACAAGAAAGAAAAAAGGAGAGAAAAAGTTAGATAATTAAAGGATCAAACCAGGAGGTCCAATAGCTAAACAGGAGTTCTAAAAGAACAGAGAAAATAAAAGAAGAAATAAGAGAAAAAATAATGTAAGAAAATTTCTTAAAACTAAAGGTAGTTGGTTTCAGAGTTGAAGGACTTTCTAAGTGCCAAGCACAGCAAGACAAAAGCAAACCACAACAAAAACCCATACGTCACACCAAGGCACACAGCGCGAACACTGGAGATAAAAAGATCCTCA